AAATTTGTTAGTCTCTAAGGTGCCACAAGTACTCCTGTTCTTTTTGCGGATACAGACTAACACGGCTGCTACTCTGAAAAGTGTAAACATGGACAAGTCATATTTCACATGGTGGCTACTGGTCATGGGTAAACGCTACTGGAACCGTAGGATTCACCAGGACCAGCTGACACAATGTTAAACGCGGCTTGTTTATGCCTACACTGATTGAAATGTTGTATGTAACATCACGTTAATTAACACAATCCCTCAAGGTCGTGTTCTATATAACAAGGTCATGTTAGAAAAGACAATCCCTAGGAAATCAGCTCCACTCCAGCACCAGATTGATCGCCCTGAGCCATTACTCTCAGGCTGAGAATATTGGCTCAGGATGATCAAGGAAAATAGTACAGAGTTTTCCACCTTCAGGGCACCAGTTCCAATTCAGCTCCAAGTCACGGGGATGGATGGCACAATCGACATGACTTATGGAATTCTTTCGCCTCTATGGCACTTACTCCACGTCTATAGTGAGCAAAGTCAGTTTCCATCCTGAAGGCTATTTGATTGCCTATGTGAAATGAGTTGGTTGGGCCTCAGTCTAGTTCTTAGTGGGACAAGTATCCAAGTCACAAAAATACATCATTGCAGTGAGTGACGTCTCCTCTTTGGTGGTCTCAGTAAAGAGGATGAAAACTGCCTAGGCCACAGAGTTTGAACTCCCTCCGGGCACGCAGGCAGTGTGTGTGCGTGGCTTACATTGGTGCTCCCCAAGCTGTACCTATGCGGGGGATAAAAAAATTCTTCATTCTCTGGAGACTATTGATCTGGCACCTTCAGTGCACTGCAGATGTCAGGCCAATGTGGATCCAATGCTTATAAGGGCTGTGGAGGATTTCCTGAATGCAATTCCCCACCTGATTCCCTGTACCTGTTTGTCCGGGTTTGTAGATGGGTTTGTCCGTCTGGACAAAGACCAGGCTGTCTGAGTTCTTGACCAGCACCGATTTCCGGCTTCTGAACTCCAGCGTCGGCCCCTTCACCAGCACCGTGAGAAACGCTGCTGATGAGCTGTTAGATTTGGGAAGCTGGCGAACAGTAAAAGAGATGCTGCCTTAGAGACTCCCCTCAACCGCCTCTTTAACTGAACCTGCCTTTGAGAGATGAGGGCATCTGGGAAGCCATCACAGGCCCAACCACGGCGGTGACAAGGATTAGAGCAGGGGGCAGGGGCACCCCAGCTGACCTCCCCTATCTCCACATTTCCACTGACATCCCCTCTAACGTGGTGCTTTGCAACAACAGGGCCTCCACCAGCTTCCTCCACCCCAGTCGCTCGGACTCTGACAAATTTCCCCTTCGTGTCTTAGCCCAAAATGTATCTTCCTTTTTTCTTGCCATCTGCAGAGATTGGGAATAAACCCCCTTCCTCCTGTTATACTGTTCCCCTAAAGGGATTCGTCCACTGCAATCCTGACTCTGGGGAAGCTTCTTTTCTAGATTAAATATGTTGACTCCCCGCACACGTTAAGTCTCGATCTCCAGTCCATGTGTGACAAACCCTGGCTATGTATACGTATTCATCAGCTGGGATTTAACATCAGATCCAAAGGCCAGGTCCCTGTCTCCTGAGCTAATCGAGTACTCTTGTTAGCTCTCAGTTAGTAGCAGGGTGTTAGTCACCGAGGTAGCCAGTCGGAGTCATGATCACACACAATACACCCATTTATTACACACACAAGACAAGCTATTCCCAAGCATCTGAGGTCCGATCTGAAGGGCCACTTGTACTTAACTGTGGCTGCTGGAAGTACAGTGAGATGAACCTGCTGAGCGGGTGCCCGCTACCACCAAATGGTGAGATAGATTAGCAGGAGGGGTAGAGCAAACCCAGTCCCTTCTCCTGGCCAATAGCATGAGGGGATTGGAAGGCAGCTTGCTTTCTGAGGAGCCAGTAACAGCCACTGCCAGCTGAGAGAGGCTCAGGAGCATTCAGCAGAGAGCAGACTGCTGATGGCAGCAGGATACAGGTGTGGACAAACCCAGTGAAGAAGCAGTAGATACTTGGAGCAGGCAGCCCTGCAGCCAGAGAACCAAACAGAGGTTGGCATGGGGCTCCGGGAACAATGGAGGCGGCAGCCCTCCAAGACTTAAAGGTGCAGTAACTGGAAATAAACTATTGCAAAACCCTTGCTCTAGACCAGCAGTTCCCAAACTGTGGGTCACGACCCTCAATGGGGTCACGCCATCAGCAAATGGGGTCGCAGCAATCCCTACTGTGCAGAGGATGCCAGTTGGCTCCACACAGCATGGCCTCACATGTATGGGGCAGGCAAGGTCACGATGCATGGAGAACGCCATTTTGCTCTACAAAATGGCTTCCTCTGCACAGCATGACCTCGCACACACCATACATCATATTGCATAGACGATGACACTTTGTTCTTCAAAACGGCATCCTCCATGCTGTCCCAGGAGGAAATAATTCATTAAAATTTGGGAACTCCTGTTCTAGATACCGGGGATTTGCCTGGGGAAAACATCAACATGATTTGACCAAATGGTAGACCCAGGGAACAGGGAAGGTGCTGCAGTGCCCATAAAGGGGGACTGCATAATGGGAAGTTTAGGGCGGGCCTTGTAGCCTAATCGTTGCCTATAGGTGAAACAACATGCAAGCAGATGTGAGTCAACTGCTACATTTGATGACAGGACAGGACAACACAGAGGGACCCCAGTGATACATCAGACTAGGGGACTGACCCTTGCCAGTGGGACCTGCAGGCTAATTGCCCTTCTAAAAGCAAGATGGTCTAGAAGGGACATCCCAGCTATTAGGCCTGAAGAGCCTCATTGGACAAATTTAGCCTTGTGTCCTCTAGTGGACCACCCCTGAGAGGACAAGTTTGGCAATTACTGCGTTCATCTTTGGTTGTAACTCACTTCGCTGATGCCATTTGCATCCTTTCTGCCAACCTTACTAAATAACCCTTTCATTGGAGTTAGCATTACAGTATTGCCAACCTCAAGAGATCAACCATCAGCATCAGACCCCAAAAAATCATGAGATGGTTCCAAAATCATGAGACCAAAAAAAACAAACAGCAAATCATGTTTTTTATTGTTTTTTCACTGTTCAAAACTCCCCTCTACTCCTCTGGCTATGTGTGTGGTGATCATTTCAGGTAGAAAAGTCTACCTTTCATGCACCCAAAACTGCACACCTCTCCCACAGCACCCCCTACTCCAGCACCCCAACTCCCTCCTGTACCCTGATTCCCCCCACAAGTCCTTCTGCCTCCCTCACATGCCTGCTGCCACTGATTGGGGGACCCTGAGGAGGAACAGTCAGTGACTCTTTCCTCACCATTGAGAACTATCACATGAGGAGCCACAGAGAACCTGGCCACTGTTTATGATGCACTGCACTGTGGGATTCAACTCACACAGTCATCTGTCCCAGCCACTAAAACCCTTGTAGCTTCCTGTCCACACTGGCTAGAAACCATTGCAGTAGCCATCTGGATAGCATCTGTCTTGGATGGTGTAGACGCAACAAATCCTGCCTCTTGGTAGGGGGTTAGCTAGATGACCCTTGCGGTCCCTTCTAACCCTATGGTTCTATAATTCTAAGGTTCAGCAGCAGCTGGCTTGAGCTAGAGCTCTCGTCCCAGGTGTTCCAAAGGACGGAGGAGAGTTTCTAAGAATAAGAAGGGGAGTGACTTTGCAGGGAGGACTCTTCCACCAGCAGAGAGGGGGATCTTGAGGCTGGGTTTCCAGCAGTGGGGAAAGGAGTTGCATATGGAGTGGGAATTGGGCAGGTCAAGCACAGGCCAGGGCAGGCCCCAGTCCAGGCAACCTCCTCTATTCTCAGACTAGCTCCACTTAGTTAACCTTGCTAAACAACCAGAGCTCCAAGAGTTAATCCCTCTGGTCACTATCCTTATTGCTTTACTGTTGTGACACAGATAATAATCATTGTGGGGGTCAGATACTCACCGTGAACGGGACACACTTGAACACGTCCTTCTCCGACACCACATCTGCGATCAGGCTCCTGTTCTCCCCTGCGTATTCCAGCGTGGTGCTCAGCGTCACAGACTCGTTCAGGTGGGTCAGCTGGATACAGACCTTTTCAGGAATGTTGGTGTGGATCAGAAAGGGCACTAGCACCATGTACTGCCTGGGAAGGGGAAGGGAACAGGTCAGACAAACCAGTTTGATGGTCTCAGCCTTCGCCTTCCAACGGGAGCTGTATATTTTATCCAAATGATGAGGACTTTTCCCTTGCGTCTGTAACATATTACCAAGGGAGGTGTTGGTGAGTGAGGAAGGGCCAAGGTGACAAGTGGAACAAGACTGACAGCTGTTAATGCTAGCGTCTGACATTGATCCACTGCCTGTACCCTGGTACAGCAACAGTGGCATTGGCAACTCCATGCCACACCCTTAGTGCAGGGTGGGTATTAGAGAGGAGTGACGAATGCCAGAAATGACCACAGCTGTCCCATTTGCTAGATAATGTAATCAGGATTCACAAACACTCTTTCCAATGGGTAAACAATAACAGAGTGTTAACTCGAGAGCTCTTTTTTACAGTCTGAGACGTGACCTTCAAGGCAATAGAAACTAGAGACATAATGTGGCAGAGATTATTTAGTAAATAGTACAAGTTATTTAGTACAGTTACTGCAAATGGCCACGAGGTGGTGCTAGATCTTAAGAAAGGACCAGAGCAAATGCACTTTACATGGTCTCCCTGGGACAAAATTTCTCCCTTCTCCCAGACCCTTTTGCATCTCAGCCAGAGCTCTGGGACTCTGCCAGGGTCAAACACTGAGCCTTGGTCTACACTACAAACTTATGTCAGTATAACTATGTCACTCAGGGGGTGGGGTGGGTGGGAAATCCACGCTCCTGAGAAACACAGTTATACCAACCTAACTCCCGGTGTAGACAGCGCTATGTCAACAGGAAGGCTTCTCCCATTGACATAGCTACCGCTCCTCGGGGAGGTGGAGTACTTACGCCAATGAGAGACGCTCTCCTGTCGGCGTAGGTGACGTCTTCACTAAGTCCTACAGTGGAGCAGCTGCAGCTCGGTAAGTGTAGACAAGCCCCCGAATCCAGGTCTCCCACGTGGCAGAGCGGAGTGTTAACAAGTAGGTGCCACAATGCTCAACCCCTTGAGAGCCCAAGTGCCAGCCTAAGTCACAATGTCCACACTGCTAGTTTTCGTGAACTAGCAGGGCTCACGCTAACAACATAAGTCTGTAGACCCAGGCTGGGAGGCTCCTTCCCAGATGCAATGTAGACATACATCAGAGAGAGCCTGGGAATCAAACCTGCCTCTCCCACGTGGCAATGGAGAGCACTAATCTCTAGGGGGCAGTAGTAGGCCTAGCCTTCCCAGTACTCCCAGTGACTGCCACCCCCAGAGTAGTGAGGAATTGGGACAAGGAATCGAGCCCTTTGATATCAGCACAGAGCATTAGCCCTCAGAGATCTCTCTGCTGGGTGGTATGTCGGGGGGCTTGTATGCATCTCAGAGGGAACAGGGGTCAGTGCTAGCAGCACTGTTATCTCCTTCAATCTGTTTGCATAGAGGAAGCACTGACCGCATAGCTGCCGTCTTTACCTGTGTTTGTTAAAACCTGAGAGCTGCTTTGCAGTTGCCCCCAGTGATTTTCTGGCACCAGAGGAGGGAGCAGTATTGCCAAAGCCCCGGGTGAGAGAGTCTCCCTTGTGGCAGAACCCCTCACTTTTACCTATTAACAGTTGGGAGGGAGTGCATGGGCAATGAGAGAGAGAGAGAGAGAGAACACAATATAATGCACCGACATGCTGCCAGCCATCCAGGGATCTCAAAGCACCTTATAGACCTTAATGAACTCAGCCCTCCCTCCGTCCTCACACATACACACCATGTGTTAGCAAGGTATCATTATCCCCATGTAAGTGATGGGAGGACAGAAGCACAGAGCGGTGCAGTGACTTCCCCATGGTGACAGAGTCAGTCAGTGGCAGAGCCAGGAATAGAACCCAGGACTCCTGATTCCCCAAAAACAGCACAAGCCCCCTCTCCGTGTGCAGCTTACGGTTCAGTGGCGGGCGAGGTGTTTCCAGGGAGGAGGAAGAGGAGCAGGAGGAAGATGTTCGGGCCACCGGGCAGCCTGTCTTTCCCCATGGTGCAGAACGAGGGTGGTGAGCGAGGCAGACACACAGACTTGTCCGCTGGCTCCCTGCACCCTGGCTGTCCGCTGGGTCCGCCCCTTTATACCTCTCTCTGCAAACAGCCCCCAGGACAGTAAGATAAGGGCAGGGGGCCAGGACCATCTGGCAAATAAAAAGAGGAACGTGAGGAGAAGCTGGAGCCAACAGCTCTGAATCAGGGCACAGAGAGGGATCTAGCTAGTCCCTGACAAACTAGGGGGAGGGGTTGAAGTAGGCTCTGTCTGATGGGGGAGAGGGACAGAAAGGAAGGTGCAGGGAGATGGCAGAGCAGGCAGTGGCAATGAGAACCTCCTTTCTGATGGAGCTCAGCATGCAGGGCTGGCCACTTACTCTGAAGCAATGCTAAATGAGGTGCTGTGGGAAGGGGAAGATGCTCCTTCAAATTGGGGGTGCAGCGGTCGAGATGCACTGAGGGATGGACCTGAGCCCTATGTGTATAAGGAGGGTGAGAACAGTCCCTGCTTGGTTTGAAAATGGGGCTCTCTGCTGAGCCCCCTTCCTTCCTCTGAGATCCCACCCACCCACACCCACACCCACACATCTGCTTGCTCTCTCCCACACACAGACCTATCCAGGCCTAATGCAGGCAAATGGGGCCAGAGAGAGGTTGGGGGCCTAATGCAGGCAAATGGGGCCAGAGAGAGGTTGGGCAATCACCTGTCAGAGATAACCCGGCCTTCACCTCCCTGCCCAGGCACAGAGGGAGAGTAACAGGGTGGGATGGGGATGGGGATGGGAAGCTGCCAACAATTTCACACATTAACAGTCTGTAACACATTAACCAATTCCCCAGGACAACAGCTTAGCTATCCCCACACAGCACAGGGGTCACTGACCTAGAGCAATGGTCCATCTAGTGTAGTCTCCCACTTGCTTCAACACTGGATCAGCCTATTGGTCTGTTTAGTAGAGTATCCTATGCTTGACAGTAGCCAATGCTGGATGCTTCAGAGGGGGAGATTTCAGAGTAGCAGCCGTGTTAGTCTGTATCCGCAAAAAGAACAGGAGTACTTGTGGCTTGTTAGTCTCTAAGGTGCCACAAGTACTCCTGTTCTTTTTGCAGAGGGGGGAGAGAAAGCCCCATAATGTACCTTATTAGATAACACTGTCTCATGGGGGGAAATTTCTTCCTGACCCCTGCCCCCTTGCTAGCAATCTGCTCGTGCCTTGAGCATGAACATCCATAGCTCTGATAATGATTACCCTAGTGGCTATCGGCACCATGAATGCTCCTCTGAGTCATATTCTCAAAGAAAAGCTATGCTAACAGAGAGTTTGTTATACTAAAGGGAAGTGTGTATGCATAATTTAAGGGGGAAAGCTTCACAGGGATAGAGTAATTACCTGAAAATCAAGCATTATAAAGCCAAGCAATTCTGAGTTAAGGTTGCATTTAAAAGAAAACCAAACATATTCAGATCAGAAAGGCACAACTAAGGCCCCCAAACAACCTTCACTCTACCCTGTAGTGACACAAGGTGGGAAAGAAAAAGGAACCTTGAATCATTTTTAAAAATCTGTTTAATCTGCTTTGGGACTGCAAACCCTGAAATGTCAAGCTCATTCTAATTATCCAACTGAGTAACCAGAGGGCAGAGCTAAGGTGGTTTGAATGGCCTAGCTGTGCATTTCCCACAGCCAGAGGCAATGCTTGCAGGGGGGCATGCAGGGTAACATGCCCTCCCCCATTGCTCGGTCACATGGTGCCTCCAGGCCCCCTCCCTACGTCGCAGCTGAGTCAGTGAGCTGTGCCAGGCAAGGAGAGGCAGGAGTGGAGGACAGTTGAGAGCTGCTGGGAGGCAACCCAGCTTTAACTTTGCCGGGAGAGGCAGAGGAACAACTGGGAGCAGCTGAGGGGCCACTGCTTTCTCAGTGGGGGGGCTGCTTTCTGGAAGGGGGGGCTGCCAGGAGGGTGGGGGGACATGACTCCAGCTGCTCCGGGGTTGTGCCCCCCCACTATCAGCAGGCACAGGTCATCTATGCCCATAGCACTTGTCAGGGGAGTGTGCCTCCCACTTTCCCCTTCTCCCTGCCACCTGTAGCTTTTAGAGGCTAAAACATCGGGGGAGGAGCAGGGCCGGCTCCAGGCACCAGCCGACCAAGCACGTGCTTGGGGCGGCACCTGGTAAGGGGCGGCCAATCTTGGGGTGGCGGGGGGC